CACTCATCGGCGACTGGTGGTGGCTTGCGATGAACGTTCTACATTAACAAGTCAAAGTACTCAACTCGCGCGGGATTTGAGTACTTCGGCTTGTATATCTCTCTTTCACTATCTGTAGCGCGAAAGTTACGACTGATTCGACAAAATTTGCCTTGTCCGGGTTAATCTCAAGATACAGCAGTTATTCGTCAACCTTCACTTATTTATTTTCCAAATGTTTTCGTCGTATGAAATTGAAATTTAGATACAGCATATGTGAAGAAACACTCTTCCGAATTCCGATACATATCTACAACATACCATAAATTCCACGAAAAGCTAAGACCTTGAATTAATATGATTTGGGCATAAATGAAGAAACACATTACAGAATCAAACCAACAGGTACTTTTTAAATTGCAAACATCCATTACAGAAGCAGCAGTCACTTTTTAAATTGCAATTTCTTATCGATGATGAAACTACGTCCTGCTCGTTTACAGTTGGCGGTCCTAGAACTGATTTCCCATTTTTTTTCAGGCAAATGTTGTGTTTCTGGCCTCACTCACTTTTAACAGTTCAGAGCAAAGTTACATTCTCCAACTAAATGAGAGCTTTGGCCTTTTACCTTGTAGCATCAAACTCTTGTCAGCACATTCAGCTTGTCTCGATCACTAACCTGGACATTGCCAATTGCCTGTAAGGTATAAACAAACTCAACTTAACCCCACCCCAAAATGGAGAACGATAAGCCGCAGCATATAAGCTAAGATTCAAACATTCTAATAAACAATGCAAAGATGTACTTACAGGAACAGGTGAGAGCATCACTTTGGGTAGAGAATATCGTAGTGACCTGGGCGATAAAGCAAGGTAATAAAGGGACTGACTTTCTCAGAGCCCTCACTAGCTTTTGGAGCATCACTTCCAGCAGGAATGAAGTCATGATGATTCACGCTAACACCACCATTATCACATGAGCTACGGTCAAGGTACACAACACGGATTGGCACACCCAGTGCATCTGACAGGGCAGTGATGTGCACGTGGTCACTTTCTTCACCCATCGGTTCCACTGACGATTTGCAAAACTATATGAAGACAAATCACATATGAGAAGGAGACAAAGGGAGACAGATCAGATATTGACGTTGTTGTTCTCTAGTCTTAAGCTAATAACCATGGAAATCTCAAATTGCTTTGCAGAAATAAACCATCTCCATGAGACCGACTTGACTTGCAACCACACAAGACTTGGAGCTTGTCTAGAAGTGCTTTTAGAATGGCTGCAAGTGCTTTTGGAAGCAATCCTTAGCAAAAATGAAAGTGCTTTTGGAACCCAAAAACATTTCTCTAAAAGCGCTTTAGTCATTTTAAAAGCACTTCCAAACGAGCACTTAGTAATTTAATGCAGATAACATAATTAGCATCACGGCCCGACATGGAGAATGTAGATAAGAAGCAAAGGGACCACCATTTTCTTTGCAAGATATATTGAAAATACATCACTATTTGTTATATTAATATGGTTTAATCATCTTCTTGTTCTTTCCCAAGAAACATAGTGTGGTACCTCAAAGAAAATAACTTGGACAACCTCTATCAAGAATGAATAAAATCATGCACTGAGAGATGGCTGAACAAATTTCATTGAACAAACCTGCTCTACGGTTGCATTGGTCAATCCCAATATAAAAGGCTCAAAAAACTCTGAGCGTTTCCTGATTTCACCAGAGGTAACAAATCTAAAAAACATCACAACTAACCAACCAAATGTGTCAGGTGTGTCAAGTAATAGAGAGATAAAATAGCACACTTAAGAATTGTGTCATATAAATCCACTCACCATAATCAGATACTGACTGATCTCGGCTCCTAAGTATGAGTTCATCATGACTGCAAGAAATAGAAAATCATGTTTATGGCAGTTCTGCACACAGCTCAAAACTAGCATCAAATTACTTCCAATTTTCAATTTGTCAAAAAATGTCTGAAGTAAAAGAACTATCTGCACCTTATAGATTCTTCATTTCCTTGAAGAACACTGTCCAGCTGCTCAAGGAATAACTGAAATTTTTTCGACTTGGAGTTAGAAATCATAGTATTCTTTTAAGAGTTATATATTTGAGACTTTTTATAGTCTGGTCAATTTTTGTTTTTGTGAACAGGAATAAATGCAACTAACTGGAACAATATGATGATACTTCTGTACTGTATGTATCACCCACATGTATTGGGACCACGGCCTTATAAGCACACTTTATAAGATGACAACCAGATTCTAGATGCTATAATCACCTCTCAAAGCATGAATTTATTAGCTTTAGTATATTTAAGTGGTAGAACGTTAATAAAAAATGATGTAATGCCGGAGCCTTTGAAATCCCATATATCAACAAGATATGGGCTAACAATGCTCTGAAAATTGGGGAAACAAAATATGTGCTTCCAGGCACTATATGCATAAAATACATGGTGCAGAGATATCACATACAATGTTTAAATCATCAGTGACTTCCAATAGTTGATCATACAAAACTCTTATTCATCTCAACAGCGTAAAACCATGTTGAAAACAAAAAGGGCTAACACATAAAGTCAGTGGCTTTACTCAATATCAGAAATGCATCAGCGTAATACAAAAAAGAAATGAATGAACCAATTATACAAAGTGTAAGTGTGAAAATAAAAGAGTTACCGCAAAGAAATCCTCAAAAGTAAAGTCTGCATAACCCAAGCTTTGAAGTGTTTTTCTGCATTGTTCAACATTGGCCTTGATACGGTCAACCTCACTTTGATCTTGTGATTCCAAAATATGCTCCTATTTAGACAGCTCAGATATTGTTAACAGCGAAAAAACCAGAATACATACTTGCATCCAGCAGGAAGCTAACAGTTAGACACCCCATTATACAAAAATCAAAGCAGTTTCAAGGAGTATATACAATGACATACAAGGTACGAAAACATAAAGCTTCGGAAGAAGCAGTTGCCATCTCCCCGTGTACGCCGAATAGCAGCATATTGTTCACCAAGAACCTGCATAAGGATAGTTATAATTAGTTCCATAAGAATCCAATATGGGTAAATGTTAGAAAAAATGAAAAGAAAAGAAAACCTTTATTTTCTCCAACAAGATAGCGCTGCCCGATTGGTATTCAGCCGCCAGTGATGATAGAGGTTCCTGTAGATTTATCACATAACAAAAGGGTCAAAACCCGATTGCACGAAATTAACTAAATGGTAGGTCAGTAGTTTCGATTATTGCCTTGTCCCCCACGAAGGGAATTTTCTCAGCCTCCTCGGCTCGAATCGCAGAGTGCTGCAGCATGATATCTTGGTCCCCAAAATTTGCCCACTCATCAAACTCAGGTGTTGCAACCGATGCTGCAGACTCCACTTCCCCATCGACTTGGACCCCATCCTGATTCTGCATTCTCTATTCACACAAACAGCAACAAACAACACTCACATTTCAAAAAAATCCGTACCCTAATTCTTCCATCACTTCAATTATCCAAATTTCAATCGTAATTGAACACCCAATACTACCAAGATTCTAATACCAACCAAAAGTTTGAACTTTTTATTCCAGCATTCTGTAAATTTGTTAGTCCAAATCAATTGATCAAAAACAAGAATTAAAGAAAGAAACAGGGTTCTCATGATTTGTGGCTAAAAAAACCCAATAAAACCCAAGAATCTACTGGCGGGATACAATTGCAATTAGCAGTAAAGAAGTAAAATTGAGGTGAATACAACGAAGCTGACATATCAGTGTATAGGGGCATACCTAGAGGTGAAACGGCGTCGTGCGCTCAGGGTGTGGGATCGAATTGGAATATGGAAGTGGAGTGACAGCCGTCTGCCGCTTCTCTGGATTTTTACTTGACGATTGATGCCTTAGCAGTAGCAAGAAGGAATTGGGAAAACGATTCGCTTCGCGTTGGAGTCCAGCGTGTTGAGTTTAGTGACGTTTTCCTTCTGTTTGGGATGTCAGTTTTCTACTTTCGACGACTTGTTTTTCCGGGTTTCGTCACGCATTCACTTCACCACATAAATTTACATGCGTGCTTCAATTTCATGCCCATCCTTTACTTTAATTGTACTTTTCAGGCGTGGTTTAGTATTATTTATTTAAAGAAAAACTAATAAACGCGGTTTAAAATTTTTGAGTTTTAACGTAAATGGAAAAATAAAGAGAAAAGAAAATAGTACCATGATTAATTTTTTTGTGTAAAAATATGGTTTTTCGTTAGCGTAAACAGTACCAAAAGTTTTTTATTAAAGTTTCTTTTATTTAAAGGAATATTAAAGAGGTTTTTAAGAGTAGAACTTTCTATCATCTCATATTTTTAATACAATGTTTATAATATTAGCACGAAAATTAACATTAAAATGTGAAGTAACAAATAATTTATTGAGAATTTCACTTTAAGAGAATCTCAAGTTCGATTACATACCAGTAAAGTAATTGTAACTAGTTCAATGCAAAATATCGAACTCAAAATATACTGTATAAAATACGGGTATGAAATTCGTCGATATTCAGTAGACCACCTCATGATAGTTTTTGTTTTTTTTAAACACCTGATGAGTCAGCCATTTAGTGCGTTGAAATCGTATGGGTGCAACAACCGTTTGGTACGTGGGACGAGACGGAACAGAGTGGGACGAGGCGTTCCATCCCATGTTTGGTGCTCCTAAAACGGGTGGAACGCGCTATTCCACGGGACGAATTTTGAGTGAATTTTCGTTCCGCCTCACTTTCCTGGAACAACTTGTTCCACATCCGTGGAACACAAAATTATAACATTTCCGTCTCCTTCTTCTTCCTTCTTGTTTCCATTCGAGGGCATATTTGCTTCCTCTCCGTTCCGTCCCATCCTGTCATGTCTCATTCCGTTCCATCTTGTCCAGTCTGCATATCAAACAATACCCAAAGTAGCTGAAGCCCAAAGCCGAAACATTACAGGGCAACTTTGTGGGCCTAGAAACGCCAACCAACCCTAGGACTGTCAGCCCATTTGGGAAAGCAAGTCTTTATCATATTTTCTTGCCAAATAATCCCACCTATTCAGCCCGTCGCGGCGTCGCCTCCCCAATTTCAGTCTTCAACCTCCACCAACGACAGCAGCAGCGTTATAATAATCTTGGGAGGAATCGGTTTCCAGGTATTCTTCGATCAAATCACTCATCTTTTCGCTCCAATTTTATTGATACATTCGTTTTTTTTTATCGTAATTATATTCATTGGAGAATAATTCAAGCATTTCAGATGATATGGAATCCCCATTTAGCTAAACAGTTAAAAGATTGTGTATAATTTAAAATTGGTGGGTGATGGAAAAATTAAGTAATTAAGGAGATGATGTGATAATTAATTGATGCAATGGGAGATTTTGGACAAGTTGGAATCTTTCTTGTCAAAATTGGGTTTCTTGAGTTGTATTTATTGAAAGATGTATTGAAATTGAAATGTATGAGCTATGAAGTAATGTATTAAGCCACTGGGATATTATCGAAATTTGAAAAATATTCATCGCCACTTGTGTTGAATTGGTTGTATTTCCCTTCATTTTGCCTGGATAAACATTTTAGGAACTAGGGGATTAGAGGGATACAGCGATGTGTTTAAGATTGAATATGATGATCAATGTTTAGGAATCGCATTGTCATATTAGAGTCAGCAAGCGTATTTAGAAACAACTACATTTTGTGAAATCTTTTCGTGATTAGATATGGAATAACGTCGAATTACATTGTAAGAATAACGCATTCTTTTAGCTTTAACAGCGTGTCCATGGCAAAGAAAAGAGGGAAGGCGTTAAAGGGAAAAGATGTCGCTGTAAATCACAATGATAGGAATAAGAAGATAGAGAAGAAATTGACGAAGAACAAGAAGAAATCTATGAAGATAAGTGCATCTTCAGTACCTACGTCGGCTCCCGTGCCTAACAGCGGCCCTTCCACTTCCAATGTTGCTCATGCAACTTTGTCTAGCCATGCTAATCCTACCGGTAGAAAAAAGGTTCGGCCAACAAAGAATGAGAAGGATAGTGGGCACTCTCATTCCGGTTTTATATTTATGTGTAGTGGGAAAACGAAACCCGAATGTTATCGCTATCGTGTTTTTGGGCTGCCATTAGCAAAGGTGGACGTTGTGAAGAAAATTAGACCGGGTGCAAAGCTATTTCTGTATGATTTTGACTTGAAGCTTCTTTATGGCACATACAAGGCAACTTCAAATGGAGGAGTGGATTTGGAACCAATTGCGTTTAAGGGGAAATTCCCTGCACAGGTAATAATGCTTTATATGAATATGAAATATTAGTCCTAGAAAATATAAGACCAAAAGATTCCTAAACATGACCATTTATGTCACAATATACATGGTATATATTTTGCTGACCTTGTCCTTTTATAATAATAATAATAATAATATTGTTCGATGCTAGTACTAGTCAAAAGAAAAACTCTTACCCTTTGTGTATCCAAGTTGTCCATGTGTGATTGTATTTATCTAGGAGTATATATCTTTTCCAAACAGATGCCATGTCATTATTGGATGCATTGGTTGCATCCTGAGTTCAGCAGTCATGACTTTGTCTTGCATTTCTTTTCTTGTGGAATGTCTTGCAAGAAAACATCTATAGATATATGTCCATCAATGTTTTAAAAGGCTCGCCTCAAGGCGCACCTAGGCGGCCTCTGAGGTTGGGTGCGAGGGTTGCCGCCTCTGTTTTGAGGGAGTGGGCGGAAGGCGTCGCCGAAGCTGTGCCTCAAGGAGTCCAGGAGTCTTTGTTTAGCTGCTTTTTTTTTTTTTTTTTAACTCCCAAACCCAAAATTTGGGTAGGGTTTTAACTGCAACCTCTTCCTTGCACTATCGTCTCTCTGCCTTTTTTTTTCTGATTTTTATTTTTTTTATATAATGGATGTGTGTGCTGTCTACGTGTATGGTTATATGTGTGCTCATTATGCTTTTTATCCTCTATTATATATATATATATATGTATAAAATATAATATAATATATGTATATATATGTGTGTGTGTGTGTATATATAATATAATATATGTGTATATATATATGTGTGTGTGTATATATTTATAATATGTGTGTGATTATTGATTAATAATCTTCTTCTTTTTTAATATAATATGTGTACGCTCAGTGTATATATTACAAAATTTAGGTCCCGTGAGGCTTCGCCTCACGCCTCACGCCTAGGCTGAGCTATCCCACGGACGCCTCGCCCATGCCTTGGCCTTTTAATACATTGATGTCCATATATGCATGCAAGTATGTATAAATACATGATTGTGTTTGGCGGATGTCATTCAGCCTTTAAAAGGAAGAGGGATTATGGGATGTAAGAGAGCTCCCTCTGATTATGTGTTGATGAACTTCCAATGGACAGGCAAACAAAAAATTGGGACTAGGAAGTGGACCAAATTTCATAAAACTCAAACTTGAATTGTAATTTTGAGGGGTCTGAAACTGTTGAAAAACGCCCACACTAGATCTTGTTCTTTGATGTAACCAACAGCAATAGACTAAACTAGCAAATATAGAAAAACTTAGAAACACACAAGAATTATACTGGTTCGGCAGAACTTATGCCTATGTCCAGTTGTGATTTCTCTAAACCCTAAAACTAATCTCACTCTCTTGTCTTGGCTGTCACAGTTTTCCTCTCTTACAATTTAAGACTTGCTGCACCCTATTTATAGGCATAGGGTGCAGTTTACATGTCCTTTACAGATTATAATTCCTATTCTAAGTGGAATAGGAAATTAGACTTCCTTTCCAATTCCAAATAGACTTCTAGGATTTCTAATCTAATTTGAATAAGGAAACTAAGATTCTTTCCTAGCCCTTTTAGGAGAAGAATTGGTGCACCCTTTTTTCCCTAAAACAATCCTAAACAGAAAAGGACATTAATTGACGAGCCAAAACCTAACAATCTTCACCTTGGTGAGTCAAACCAAGTCTTGATCGTTTGCACCCCAGAGTATCTTTGAACCTTTTTTAAGTAGCTCTGGAAATCTTCAAGAGTCTTCACCTTGGCAATCTTCTTCTTGCCTCATTGCACCTTAAGTGAGGAGGTGCTCCACTTTAATCAATCAACGAGATTGATCAAGTTCAAGCAATGCTTGAACTTCTTGGCCGGTACTATCTTTGTAAGGAAATCTGCGGCATTGTCATCCGTATGAACCTTTTCAATCCAAATTTCCTTAGACTCCACCCAATCTCTGATTCTGTGATACCTTGCTTCAATGTGCTTTGATCTTCCAGAAAAAACCTGATTCTTTGCCAAGTGAATGGCACTTTGACTATCACACTTCAGCTTCACACAATCTTGAGTGATTCCCATTTGACTTACCAAGCCACTAAGCCAAATTGCTTCCTTTCCAGCTTCGGCCAATGCAATATTCTCTGCCTCTGTGGTCGACAAAGCTGTAATTGGCTGCAGTAGTGCCCTCTAACTGATTGGTCCTCCTACACATGTAAACACATAACCAGAAGTTGACCTTCTCTTGTCCAAGTCTCCTGCATAATCTGCATCCACATATCCTAACACCCTTGCATTTTCTTTTTGCTTCTCAAACATAATCCTTTGTCGCCAAGAACCCTTCAAATAACGCAAAATCCACTTGACTGCATCCCAATGTTGCTTTCTTGGATTTGCCATGTATCTGGAAACGACACTGATTGCTTGAGCTATATCGGGACGTGTGCATACCATTGCATACATGAGGCAGCCCACTGCATTAGCATAAGGCACATTCTTCATTACTTGTTGCTCTTCCTCGGACGTAGGACATTGTTGCCCACTTAACCTGAAGTGAGTTGCCAAAGGAGTCGAAACTACCTTTGCTTCTTGCATGTTGAACTTTTTAAGAACCTTCTGAATATACTTGGCTTGTGATATCCAGATCCTCCAGCGGTCCTATCTCTCTGAATTTCCATGTCAAGGATCTTCTGTGCAGCACCTAGATCTTTCATGTCGAACTCCTCGCTCAACATCTTTTTCAAGTCTTGAATTCTAGACTTGTCTTGACAAGCAATTAGCATGTCATCCACATATAGCAATAGCAATATGATCATCCCATCTTGGAACACATGATAGTACACACAACAGTCATATAAACATCTTCTAAAATTGATTTTCAACATGAATGAATCAAACCTCGTGACCACTGTCTTGGAGATTGTTTGAGGCCATACAGGGACTTCCTTAGCTGACATACTAGGTTCTCTTTCCCATATTCAACAAACCCTTCTGGTTGAGCCATGAAAATCGTCTCCTCTAGATCTCCATGAAGAAATGCTGTCTTCACATCCATCTGCTCAATCTCCATGTCATGCTGAGCTGCCATAGCTAAGAGTAATTTATAGAAGTATGCTTGACTACAGGTGAAAAGATCTCATCATAATCCACCCCTTCTTTATGTGAGTACCCCTTAGCCACGAGCCTTGCTTTGAATCTCACAGCATCTTGTTCATGTCGTCCTTCCTTTTTCCTAAATACTCACTTGCATCCAACTAGCTTTCTGTCTTTGGGCTTAGGAACCAACTCCCAAACAGAGTTCTTGTAAAGAGACTCCATTTCTTCTGTCATAGCACTTATCCAACTATCTCGCTCATCACTAGCTATAGCTTCTCGATAAGTAGTCGGATCTCCTTGACTAATGTTAAGAGCATAATTAACTTCGTCTTGGTCAAACCCAAATCTGTCAGGCTTCTTCTTGTTCCGATTAGGTTTGTCTAGTGCTATGCATCTCTGGAATGTAGGTGGATTGTTGGTTGGAGTTCGAACCCTTTGGGATGTCTGGCGGATTGGAGTGCCTTCAATCTGCCCTGTTTCTTGCTCCACCTGATTCATAACTGGTGAACGATGCTGATGCTCTTCTTCTTCCTCAAAACCATCAGATTCGGCTTCTTGCTCGATTTGCTCCACCTGAGCTTTCATCTGAACTGATTAATGGAATCTTTGTTGCTTCAATTTCAGCATCGTCCGTCTTCTCTCTACTACTCTCGACTTTATTAAGAGGTATGGTTGTCTCATCAAAGACAACATCTCGATTGACAACCTTTTTCCTGTTGTTGAAATCCCAAAGCTTGAAACCCTTAACTCCTTTCTCAAAACCTAAGAATATGCAATGTGTAGACTTCGGTTTGAGCTTGGACCTTTCATCACTTGGAATATGTGCATAAGCACTACAGCCGAACACCCTGAGCTTGGAATAGTCCACCGGCTTCTCAGACCATACCTCTTCTGCACTCTTAAAACCGAGAATTGTAGATGGTGACCTGTTAATCAAATAACTTGCATGATTAACAGCTTCTGCCCAAAAACTATCAGGCAATCCTGCATGAAATCGCATGCTCCTTTCTCTCTCCATGAGAGTTCGGTTCATCCTCTCAGCAGCTCCATTTTGTTGGGGATTCTTCTTTCCTGTGAAGTGCCTTATGATGCCTTCTTGCTTGCAGTAATTGGTGAACTCATTACTTGTATATTCACCTCCATTGTCACTTCTCAGGTACTTGATCTTTCTTCCAGTTTGATTCTCGGTTTCTGTTTTCCATTCCTTGAACTTTGCAAAAACCTTGGATTTCTGCTTCATGAAATAAACCCAAACCTTCCTAGAAAAATCATCCATGAAAGTAACAAAATACCTGGCTCCATCATTTGATTTAGTTGGTGCAGGGCCCTAAACATCTGAGTGAATATAGCTGAGTTGCTCCTTGCTTTGGTTATCTACACTGCTAGATGCGAATGATACATTGCTTTGCTTTCCGAGAACACAATATTCACAAAAGTCCAGTTTGCAAGATGACACGCCTTCCAACAGGCCTTGCTTGTGTAATTCTTGCAACCCTTTTTGGCTTATGTGCCCGAGCCTATGATGCCAGAGTTCATTCTTGTCTTCTACACTCTGATTTATAGAAATAGCTGCTCCCCCAACTATAGTGGTCCTAATTAACTTATACAACTTATTGGGTTGTAGGTCACCCCGCATTACCACTAGCGATCCTTTGGTTACCCTAAGTCTTCCTTTTTTAGACTTGTACTCATAACCGGCCTCATCTAAAGTACCCAAGGAAATCAAATTGTTTCTTAGTCTAGGGACATACCTGACGTTCCCCAAGGCTCGTATCATCTCATCAAACATTCTGATTCGAACAGTGCCGATTCCTTTTACAGGACATGAAGAATCGTCCCCCATTAAGACTTCCCCGTTGCTGACTTCTTTGTAAGTATCGAACCATTCCCTTACTGCGCACATATGAAAAGTGCATCCGGTATCCAAAATCCAATTGGTGAAAGCCTTGGAGCCTGATGCTACTGAAAGAAGCTCCCCGTCACTCTCATGCTCGGTGACTGCACTAGCTGAACCTGTGCTTCCTTCCATCTTGGCTTTCTTCTCTTTCCAAATCTTGCAGTTCCTCTTCCAATGATCGGCTGAACCACATTCGAAGCAACCTTCCTTCTTTTCCTTTTTCTTCTTGGATTTTGACCTACCTCTATTGCCGATTTTCTCTTCCTTTGTCTTTTCCCGCCCCCTCTCCTTGCCTTTGGCATAAAGGCCTTAAGAGCTTTCAGTTATATCATCCAGTTTAGCATATGATTGAAGAGCTTGAATTACGTTTTCAAGCTTTAGGGACTCTTTTCCAAACATTAGAGTTGTTCGAAAGTGCTTGAAAGACGAAGGTAGAGACCTCAGCAAGATGATAGCCATATCATCATCTTTGTAAGTTTCTTCGACCTTCTGAAGATTAGCTATGCAATTCTGGAACCTGCATACATGATCTTCAATATCACCTCCTTCTTCTAGTCGAAGCCCGAATAGTTCATCCTTTAGAAAAAGTTTATTGGACACGGTTTTGCCCATATAAACATTCTCCAACTTTTCCCATGCTTCCTGGGCAGTCATCTTTTCGGTGCTGTGTGACCGAACTGATCTTGTGAGATGGATCTCGATGGAACTCTTGGCCTTCTTGAGAACCTTAGTCCATGCTGCCTCTGTCATGTTTTCCGGCTTCTTACCATCGAGTGCATCATCCAAATCCTGTTGTATTAGTACGTTCTTCATCATCCTTTGCCAGTCCATGAAGTCATCTTTGCCGTCAAAGGGCTTTAACGTAGGTCCTTGATCCGCATTCATCTTCCCTTTTGACATCGTAGAATACCTTGATCCTAGCTCTGATACCAATTGTTGAAAAACGCCCACACTAGACCTTGTTCTTTGATGTAACCAACGGCAATGGACTAAACTAGCAAATATAGAAAAACTTAGAAACACACAAGAATTATACTGGTTCGGCAGAACTTATGCCTACGTCCAGTTGTGATTTCTCTACCAGAGAAATCACTGCTCCTTCGATTAATAATAGAGATTATAGAACTTTTGCAAACCCTAGAACTAATCTCACTCTTGTTTGGCTGTCACAGTTTTCCTCTCTTACAATTTAAGACTTGCTGCACCCTATTTATAGGCATAGGGTGCAGTTTACATGTCCTTTACAGATTATAATTCCTATTCTAAGTGGAATAGGAAATTAGACTTCCTTTCCAATTCCAAATAGACCTCTAGGATTTCTAATCTAAATTGAATAAGGAAACTAAGATTCTTTCCTAGCACTTTTAGGAGAAGAATTGGTGCACCCTTTTTTCCCTAAAACAATCCTAAACAGAAAAGGACACTAATTGACGAGCCAAAACCTAACAGAAACCTTACCGACCCTAAAAATATTAATATTCTAGACTAGATCTCATTGTTTGAGCTAAGCCAGGTATTCTAGTTGAGCTAGTAACAATTGAAGGATTGGCAATGATTGGTGGTGGTGGTGTTATGATAATCGAAACAAGATGTGACATTTTTGAGTGGTAAAAGTTGTTGGTTTATTCCCTTTAATGTGTTGTCGACTTGTTGGAAATGTAAGTAATGAGCCCGAAAGTTATAATTAAAGTTCTAAATATGGAGAAGGCGTCATGACAAGTTGATGGTGGAGGGTGGAGTGGAAGGTTGAACATGATTATAGTTCAAGCGGAGATGCAGCTGGTTAAAGATAAAAAAAGTGAATGTATTGATGACAGTGGTGGTGTCTGGTGACGCTTGTGGCTTGTGGTGATTGCAATGATAGTGCACTGATATTAGTAATGCGACATAGGATTTTATGTGGAACAGAGTCGAGGTGTAAGTGTTATTGGGGGAGCAAGGGCTATGGAAGTTATGGCCAAACATCAGCGTTGCGGTCTTGGTTACAATCCCACTGAGAGGGTTTAAGAGTTGGGTCCAGCTTGATGGACCAAAGTCTAGAACACAATACCATCAAATTTTTTTGTTAATGTGGAACTTGACAGTCTTTTATCCTTGTTTTTCTGTTTGAAACATCTTGTTTGTTTTGACTAGAATCTTCAGATGTTACATCATGCTTTGTGAGACCTACTTAAAAAATTTCATGAAGATTTGTTTCACCTGTGTCTTTTGTATGTTATATTGTATATTTACTGATAGCAGAATTAATATTTTGTATATTTACTGATAGCAGAACATGCGACCTTCTGCCATTTGCTTAATTTATGATTTTTTATTTTTATTTTTTGTCAATTTGTTTGTATATTCAGGTCAGATTTAAGATTTTCAAGGATTGTTTACCTCTTCCTGAAAATGCTTTCAAAGCAGCTATCAGAGACAACTATCAGGGAGGTTCCAAGTTTAAACAAGAGCTCAATAGTAAACAGGTAAGTAACATCATTTACATCTTTTAGCTCCTTATTTAAAAGTTATTTGAAACTAGTTGCCTATCACTTAAAATTATTTTCTTTAAAGGAAAATTTCTTATGGATTTTGCTTTTGACGAAGGTGCATGCTTTAATCTCATTGTTTCGCCCACTCACCGAGTCAGTGCCAACTTCTGCTGCCTCTCCCCGAAATGTGGCAAAACCAGGCTCATTTCCATCACCCATTACAGAAGAAGGATTTCATCCAACAGCAAGGCTGTCCCATCAAGAGGGCTCCTATTCATATGGTATGCAACGTACTCGTGCATCGCCGTTTGATATGCAATCCAGGCAGGCAATCCCATATCCACTTTATGATCAATATGAGGTCAAAACACATGTGGGACATGTATGGCCTCGCTTAGAGCCTCGACATGTTCAGCATGCTTCTCTTCCACATCATGCTGATTCCTATTATTTAGCAGCGGCACATGAGCCGTACTTGCCTGAACAACCATACATGTCCCATCAGGATGCATATAGAAGGTATATTCATTTGTTGCATTCTTTACCCACTTATTTCAGCTGTTATTATGTGGTATTTTCTACATTTAACCCTCTCCACTATATATCTCATCGATTCCATTGTACAAAGGAGATTCCTTAATGGTCATGTTTTTTCCCCCGGAAATATCCCCCTCTTATAACTTTCGAAGCTTTATATACTAGGATAGTTTTATCATTTGATACAAGCTTAAAAAGGAATAAAACAGTGCAGTAACTGACTCAATCTACCTCATTATCCTATTTTCATTACCTCACCGGGTAAACCACCACAGTTACATTATCTCGACTTCGTGTTTTCAATCTCTTATATTTTCATCAGTGAGAGTTAATCCTCACACATCCCGAGCACATGTGGGAGAGATTAGTTTTATTGATTAGAGCATAATGCTCATAGTAGATAACATTCTCATGCGTTTTCACAGGCATAGGGTGACACTTGCAGAGGAGATGGTTCCCAGGGATCAAGTTGTTGCCTATGGAAGCGAGTATGACGGGCCACAGATGCTGAAGCGGAGAGAGAGAGAAATTGCTCCACGTTCCAATTATGTGGCTGAATCTTATAGTCGAGAGGTTCCCACTGCTGCAGCCTCACATGTTATGGTGCAGTCACATTCTTTAGCACCATCTTATGACCGGACCTTAACGTACCAACGGTACTATCCAGTCACAACCCATCAGGATCAGAGCTTGGTGTACGCTGATCCTCTTGTAAGACCATTGCATGGTACCTCTTACTCAGCTGAGGCAGATGTTCCAATCTCTACTCACTTTTCGTACACTAGAGCACCCCATTACCGCTGAACGAAACTTGGGTGTGTAGATTCATCCAAGTCATGCTTTCAGTTGTGTTGCTTCATTGTCAAATACTGGTCGGAACTTTAAACAATCATCTTCCGAGTCCTGCCGGGTAAACTGTGTTTTGTTTTTCATCTTCTATAAAAGAGGAGCTGGGGCCCTGCATCACCCTGTTCAAAGTGTCGATCATTTTTAGAAATCTGAGGCATAATCTAAGCAACCAAACAAGTTTGATCAGTCTGCCTTGGTTAGCACCTGCCATGGCGGTGTGGAATTACATGTCTTCCCTTGATAAGCTTATAGCCTTGTACGATTTCTAGTTTCTATGCAGAATGCAGACTGTTGCATTGCGTCAAACTTTGTATAAAATGCACACCGGTTCTGAGACGGGCCTTCAACTTCATCACTTGTGTAGAACAAGATTCACCACTCATGTTGAGACGACCCCTTTTGTCCTAGCAATTTTTTATCTTTTAATCCTTTGAGTTGTGCGTGGAACCTTGCCAACATTAAGGTCAAATGGGTTTCTTTTCTTCGACAAACTTTATGAATTAATTTACCGAAACAGCATAACATGAATAATGAATGGTGGTGTAACCTCAATATGAGGTTTTTGAAGGAAGTTGAAGTTCCAATTTTAAAAAATATTGGCAATAGGTCGAGTACCACGAAGGAAGCAGAAGTTCTAATCATAAAATCAATTAGTAACAGTAGAGTGGATTAACTTTTTATAAGACCATACATGATTGCATAACTTTCTTATTTGGAACAGATCTTCACATTTTTAGAGTTATATGTACGACACTTGTTTCATGAAACATGATTCTACTATGTATGTTATATGACACAAGTACACCGTCACGTGTTATCATATTCTAATGAAATAAGCACATGTGAACAAAAACTTACACATATCTTTGTAATAGACATTGAACACCACTTTAACGAGTAGTCATGTTCGGTAAATTTTACTAGATTGCGCATGCAGTTTGGCCCACGCAATCTTGTTACATAATATATTGCCTCTAGTGTAATGAATCATGATGATCCACCGAAACCGTCATAGTTGGGGGAGAAGAAAGGGATGGGAGAGAGCCTATCACCACTTATGGTCCGCTTACTCATGCTGGTTTAGGTTGAGGTTGGTCCCGGATGCCTAAACCCTTTTAGAATTTGCAGTCCCCCGTGACCGACCTCGTCGTTCAACTGGCACTGCCAGTCTCACCAAACTTCCATTTTTTTCCTTTTTTTGTTTTTTTGGTTGGCTCTCTCTCTCCCTATCCATTCATTTTTTGTGGTCGACAATTGGCGAATGCCTAAGGAGGAAGATTCTCTGCCCTCCAACTTTTTGTGTTCTTCCGTGCTCTCTTGTTTGTGTGGTCACGGTTAAACCACGTCAACATTTTATATTACTATTTTTTTTGGTCTTATTATCTTTATAAAAAAAAATATAAAATATTAATGTGATTTAACCTTGACCACACAAAACAGAAAGACACAAAAAGTAGGAGTCCAATGCCTAAACCTAGTAACCTGTTCCTCTTCAATGCGAACCTTCATTTTATATTTTAGAGATTTGAATAATTGATGGCACACTTCCTCTTCGGGCAAGTCATCACTTAAACCATATTATATTATAAGAAGCCTTTAAAGAAAGGAATTTTTATTTTATTTTATAAAAATAAGGATTAGTTATATGAGATCTACGTCATATTGAACTTTAACGATTCGAACTGTTTATTTTTTCAATTTGTACCTCATAAATTATTCTTGCAAAATATTAGCCAAATTAGAAATATTTAAGACATCTCATTTGGTTCAAATAAATGAACGAATAATTTGTTATATAAGAAACAATAAAATTTGATCTTGATAATTAAATAAACAAATGATTTTGGATTGAATTGAATTTTTGCAAGGATGATCTATGAATCAAGTCTAACAAAATAGACGATTTGGATCGTTGAAATTCGATATGAAGTGAGCTCTACGCATAATCTCCATTTTTTTCAAAAAATGAGAATCCCTTTAAATTAAAGACCTGTTATATTATATATTAATTGTTGGATTATTATATGAGCCTACTAAGTCAGCGACAGCTCCCAGCGCGAGGCCGGTTTCAAAGGTCAGAACGCTTACCAACATTACTCTACAAATACAGACGATGTTGTGTGTTTGTATGGGTATATTATATATATATATATACACACACAACAAAATGAGAATCCCTTTACATAAATGACCTGTTATATGGACCAGGATCCTCGCCGAATCCATTCCTTAGGGATCCTAGGGATCCCACAATCCTGTCCATTTATCGTATATTGTTCAGTCAGAAATCATTTAAATTTTAAAATTTAAAAGTAAATAGTATCTAACGAAAACTGACCGCAAGATATACAATGAACGAACAGGATTGCGGGATCCCTAGGATCCCTAGGGAATGGATCCGGCGAGGATCCTGGTGCCTGTTATATTATATATTAATTGATGGATTATTACCTGAACCTACTTAGTCAGCGACAGCTCCCAGCGCGAGGCAGGTTTCAAAGGTCAGAACGCTTACCAACATTACTCTACAAATACAGACGATGTTGTGATATATATATATATATATATATATATATATAAACTTTCGACGTAAATCAACTTCTTTGACTATATATATATATATATATATATATATATATTACATTGGAAGGGCTCTCACGTTTAAGCCTTGCTGGTGTCCTTTGATAACATGGCAAAGGCACACTCATACATGTGCCTGCGGCCCCATGTCTACGTCTACAAAAGTCTTACATGTAATCGAACTGCTTATAAGGTGAAGGATGGAATGTACGTACCCACCACGCACCTGACAAAGCAACTTAACATCCACACGATAAAATAATGAGTTGCGCCACAATCACTCGCAAATGTATGCGTGAATAGATTTGAAATCAATCCGTGTATGAATCATTCACAATTTATTTAATGATCAGAAATCACTCACACTCGTTTAACAAAACTTAAAATGAGATGACTGTCAAGTGGACATAGTAATAAAATGAGATGACTATCAAGTGGACATAGTAATAAAGTGCAAGAAGAGGGTGGTAGAAACTTCGACTCGTGGCCGAACTGACATCGACAAGACTTTGGTACCGACCTGAAAGTCTACAAGACCATTTTGGCATGCATGCTCATTGTTTTTTTTAAGTTTAGCTTGTTCGGGGAAGTTTCTCTTTATTATTTTCAATCTGTAAGTTACTTGGGGTACTTGTTTGGACTTTGGAGGGAGAATAAATATCTGCATCAGGTTAGGGAGAAGCTGAGCATCTGCAAGCGTGAAGAGGTGACAAGGATCTGATCACATGAGAGAAGATATCAATTATCAAAGAGATATAATAATGAATATAAATTTAAAGATTAAGTATCTAAAACTTCAAATTTTTAGTGTCATTTTACATTGGTCTCAAATTTTTTAAACATTCCAAACAAGTACCTAATTGATTAAAAATGTTACATATGTTAAACCCTAATTAAATTTCTGTTATATTAACTAGGGCTTACATACTTTGTCTCCAAAATCAATAGAAGATCATGGAAGCATGGCATCCACCAACTAATGGTTACCCTCCCACTCCCATCAGGCCATCACCTCCAAACTAACGCACAACCATCAACTCCATCCTACAACTCAAGTCGCCAATGTTGAGAGGAAGGTCATGGAGGCAGTTGATACAATATGGACTACTATGATATGCCCACAATCACCTTCACCACCAACAAAGAAGAACTTGGAAGTTTTACGAGCCAAGAATTGACGAATGAGGAAATCACATGAGCATAAACAAGCTCTTTGAAACCCTATCTAAATTCTCAACCCTCTTCTTTGTTAGGAAATTGCCCTCTTGATGTAATTTTGAATTTGGGCATATTTTTTTATTCAATTCAATACCCGTTTGATTATTGGGTTCCATATTATATAATCTTTGTTTGAAATTTAGATTTTGCGGCAACTAATAATAATGTTGACCATAATATACCTAGTTGGTGGGTTTTGAATATAAAGGTTGGGATAGGATTTCAGTGGTTGTATTTTGAGCTTGGAGGTGGCCGGGGCTTGATATTCCTAATCTTCATTTTTGTTCTCCATTTTATTTGCGAATTTGTTTTTTTTTAATCTTCCTGTCTTTTTTAAGTTATTTTTATTATCATTTTAGTGTCCAAGTAAGCTAAAAAGTGGGATCCATTGTTGCTACGTGTACATGTAACGGATAATTAACTGAGGCTTAACGGATACGACATGCCCAATAGGTTATTGACTATTTATTTAGAATGTTTAAAAAGATTGAGACCAATTTAGAATGATATTAATAATTTGTAGAATTTTAGGTACTTAATTTCAACTTTAATTAGGAATATATAAAATGTCAGTAGACATAGTTACTGGCAAGAGCTGGTAGTAGTACTATAATCTGTAGTCCCCTTCATGAAGGATTGGTTGAGGGGGAGGAGGATCGTGGCCTCATCTGCAAAATGATTGTGATGTGGATGGTTGAATTATTGATTTTGCATGCATGCTTGTATACGAGATATTGCTCCGTCACGAACCACGATACTCACAAAATGACATTATATATTTACTTATATTTATATGTATCTGTTGAAGAAGTTGAAGATAAAGCTGCTGGAGGGACGCAGGGCTATCTTTTGTAAGTGCGAAAGATGTGAGAATACATGTGGAATGATTGTCCGTATTTGAATTTACATGTGCATGTAATCTTTCCCAATCTGCTGTCGATCGAGAGCTTCATAAAATTTAAAATAAAAAGAGAAGCTAAAAAAAAGGTGGTCACACATGATAATACATATGAACAGTATATGCTTGTCCGGTTGTCTCTATATGCCTATGTAGGCACCGAGCACCTCCCTATCTAAATAATTTGCAACCACAAATCAAATCAAATCAAATCTTGCTATTAGTTACACACACACACACACATATATATATATATATATATATTTATTTATATATCATCCACTTACAGTTTAATTTGATGGAGTCAAAACATTAACCTGAAAACTTCGTACGTCCATGTGATAAAAATTCATTGTTCTTGAATCTTTGACCTATCTCATAAGAAATCAAATCCAATCCTATTTCGACGATAGAAGAAGAACTATATTTTTAAATAATTATATACATATGTACGTCATGCATGATCACAGCAAAGGTCCAACATATGCACAAATTCAGAAGTAGCTTCATATAGCCATGTGAGAGCATATATGGGGCTGGGAGGACCTTTTATGTCCGAAGGTATATCTCGTCTTCTTGTAATACTCATTACACGACTAACATACAATTATAGATATACAAAGATGTTCCAATGCAAAATATTGAGGCGACGAAAATGTACTGATTTTTTTTTAATTGTTGGAACCCCCTGTTTGTCCCACATCGGCTAGGGGAAGGAAAGCAAAGCAATTTATATAGAATTACCTCACTCTAACTAACATCGAGGTATTTTTGTGATAAAACCCCACACCTGAG